GCAATCAAACCAATACTAGGGTCGCTTGCAATGTCCTCCACCAAAGATACTTTTAAATTTATCCTCAGGCAACTTCTTAGGACATGATCAGAAAGAAGGCATTTTTGTTTGTTTGTTTGTTTTGCCAAAATAACACAGACACAGTCTCTAGTTCAGCTACTAATATCCTTTCTTTCTGAAAAACCTCTTGAGCTAGGCCTCCACATTTTACATAGCTCTCAGCACTACTTCTAAACTCTTACTAGGATGGACCATTAAGCTCCACTTATATTCCTCAGTCACCTCTCTAGTCCAAACTTATAATGTTTTCCACATTACTCTAAAAAAAAAATAACATTGCTAGTTCTATCACAGTGAAAGCCCTCTCTCTGCTATTAACTTCTGTCTTAGTCACACTTTTCTATTGCTGTGATAAAACACTATAAACCACGGTAACTTGTAGAAGGAGGAGTTTAATTTGGGCTTACAGTTCAGAGGGTTAGAATCCAGGCTGGAAGAATAAACACATGGCAGCAGGAGCAGAAAGCTGAGGGCTCTACTCTTGACCCACAAGCACCACGCAGAGACTGAACTAGAAACGACAAGGGTTTTAAATTCTCAAAGCCTGCCCTCTTGACATCAATTTGGCCTGTATCATCTATTAGTTTTTCATTTGCCTGCCCACTATGCTCATAGCATCATTCTCTTGTAAGCTTGATTTATGATTATTTTATCAGACTAAAGCAATTTGTTTATTCTTTTTTTTTTTTTTTGGATGTCACAAATTATAATCCTTGACAGCAGGGCTGAATATACATTTTAGAGTAATTCATAATGAAAAACCTATACCAAATATTGAGAGAGAAATAAATACTCAAAAGTATAAGCATAATAAATGAATGGATAAAATTGCTAGTATGATATGAATAATATTTACCTAAGCATATTTAATTGCTAGCAGTAGTCAAATAATTTTTGTTTTTTTTCAAAATAATTTTTCTTTATATTATTTATTATAATTTATTCACTTTGTATCCTGGCTGTTGCCCCTTCCCTCATATCTTCCCAGTCCCAGCCTTTCTCCTTCTTCTCTCCCTATGCCCCTCCCAAAGTCCACTGATAGGGGAGGTCCTCTTCCCCTACTCTCTGATCCTAGCTTATCAGGTCTCATCAGGACTGGCTACATTGCCTTTCTCTGTGGCCTTGCAAGGCTGTTTCCCCCCACCCCTATAACTGTTTTGAATGAGAGAACATAGAACACAAAGTCCAAAGATTGGAGATATTTATTATTATTATTTTATATATTTTGATTGTATTATATGATCATCCCCCATATACTCTCAGATCTTCCCCATCTCCGTACCAACCCAAACTCATGTTCCCTTGTTCTCTCTCAAAACAAAAAAAATTAAAAACAACAAATATTAATAAATTAAACAAAAACCAATGGACTCCATTTTTTATTGGCTAACTCTTGGACATGGAGTGTAATTGATATACTCCATGTCACTCCTCTGAGAAAACTGAATTTCATTTTGTCAGCAGGTACCAATCATAAATCGCATCTTGGTTGGAGGTAGGACTTTGTGTCTGTCCCAGGACTAGAGTTCTCATCCTGGCTCTGTCACTGGTTATAATAATGTTAACCCTAGAAAACAAATTTACTCTATAAAAAGCCTCCTTTTTTATTTTCACCTGTAAAATGTAGGCTACAATAGTCTCTACTCTTTAAATAGAGATGCAGTGACGTGGGAAGTCAGAAGCACAGTCCACAGTAATAAATATCAAGGAAAAGAGGCCTGTTACAATTTATTTTGTAGAACCTGCGGAAAGCAATGAAAGCCCATTAGCAAACACAATTCGCATTGTTTCCACTTCCATCAGGGACACAGGCAACTAACCAAACAACTTAATGTGTTATTCTAACATCTGTGAAATAGGGTGTAAAAGGTAACAGGCGCTACTCAAATGGATGTTCGTGGCATCAAGTTTGGATGTGTTGATATGTTACCCCAAGCTTGTATACCCTCTCTACGCCCGGGAGACCTCTTGTCATTTTAATGCTACGTTGTAATATTTCATATGAGATGCCAAGATATAAATCTTTCCTTCATTCATTATGTTGGATTCTCTGTTGATTCAATCTGCTGGTTTGCCTTTTTTCCATTCACCATCACATTTGGTACAGAAACTTCTTACCATCCTCATTCTTTTACTTCCTTCTGGGATTCATGTCTGTTTCCTAAGAAAGTTCGGCTTCTTTATCACATTTTTGTTTTAGTCTATTGATATTGTTCTCTTTAAGTGCTTAGAAATATCTTTTACTTATTTTCTAAGTTTTTACTTTGAAATATAACACTAATAATCATGAGCATTAAATATTTTCAGTTTTGTCTCCTACATAGCGTTCTCACCTTGATTTGTTGTAAGCCGTCTCTGATTGTTCTAGTGTTTCTTTCATTTCTGTTCTATGTGATCTCCATGCTTCTAGTGATCTTTGGCTGATTGTTCAGTAAAAAATAAAGGTCCAGATGTATAGTATTGGTTTTTTTCCTTGGTGAGGTATTTTTCACCCTTACAGAAGTTAACATAAACCATAATTCCTGAGTCAAGGCAGTTCATTTGTAAACACTTAAATTTAAGGGCGGGTGGGACACAGTTAAGACCATGGGGACCCTCAAATCTAGTAGTGAGGAGGGTTTCACTAGGAGGCCAGCATTCGCATGATGGCATTTATTGTTCTCTGAGAATTCCTTCTGAATTTTTTTTTTCAAGTAGCTGGTTGACATTTTGTTTGTACTTAACCACTGGCAGCCTCTGCTTTTACAAAGCTTGCACAAGCAGATCTGAATGAGGTCAGCTATTTGACACTGAAATATCCAACCCTTCTGCTTCCAGTCCTGTTTCTAGTTCCAGTCTGCCTCTCTCATAACCACTGGTTTTAAGATCAGAGACTCTGTCATAGAAGAGCAGAATAATTGTCACTCATCTCTTCTCAGTCTCCCAATGTGTAATATGTTTGTGTCCTCCCTTACCGGGCAGGAACCAGCCCTGACAAAACCCTCCTGTATGGTGCATTCCAGGAAAATGTGAGAAGGAAATGAACTCTGCTGAGCTTCAGAGAAAGGAAAACTTTAAGCATCAGTCATAAGTTGTCCTTGGTCTACAGAGGAGGGAATGTGGTAGGAAAATACATGATGTGGCAGTGTTAGGCCATATCTGGATGCTGTCTCTGTCAAATGATATGCAAATAAGTCTTCTTACTAATAAAATTCCCCAAAAGGCTTTTATGTCGCACTGATGGACATTCTGTTAACTGTGCATGCTTTGGCTTATTTGTTCTTGTGGAGTTCTCAAATCAAGAGCGGCCTACAGAAAAACAAGGATATAGCTCAATGATAGAATGCTTGCTTAACATGTCTAGAACCCTGCATTCAGTTACAATTCTGAGAGAGAGAGAGAGAGAGAGAGAGAGAGAGAGAGAGATATTAGAAAAAACAAAGAGGTTAAAATATAGATTCAGGACAACCTGGCTTTGATCTTGTATGCCATTGCCCGCCATGGTTGATTTGGCTGGTCTGATGAGCTAGGTGGATGCCACTCCTTCCTTCATCGATCCATGTGTGTCCCGTGCAAGGCTGCATACCATTGTTATAGGACATGACCTTCCTGGAAGGATGAAGACCAGTTTTCCGTCAAGGGTTCATTGATAGTTAATTGTGCTTTCTTGTTAAAAATCTTCAAATAAATTCCCAAGAGATAGACATGTGCTGCTTTACAAACTCTTCCTGGGACAACTATTTAATTTGTAGTCCTGAAGCCTAATTACATGTGGTAAAAATATAATCAATATAGAATGAGTAAACAAAGATAAATTTTGTTGAAACACATTCTCAAAAGCCCAGCTCGACCATTGAGGAGTGGGAAGCATCCTGTTAGGAAAAGTGTGCACACAACTTTTAATGAGACCATTTCTGTGGCTAAAGTGCACCCTCATGCCATCATTAGCCATGTGGCTTGTGACAAACCTTTCCAGGCTTTATTGCAGTTATGTGAAGAATGGGAACAATAAAATCAATTGTAATCATTTTTGAAAGTATTGATAGAGTTCCTCTGTTTAAAATGACTCAGTTCTGTCAAATAGCTGACAGTAAATATCCCTTTAAACTGCAAGTTTCAAGAGCAATGTAGTGGCTTTCATAAGCATAATAGCCAGCAAGTTTTGTATATTATTATGGGTTATATAGAATTCTTACTTGATGTTTTTGTCTGTTGCCTCAATTAAATCCTTGCCTCAAGTCTGTGTGGTAAACATTATTATATTACAGTTGTGGGATATGCAGCTCTGAGAAAGTAAGTAATTTGTCCAAGATGGTTCTGTTAAAAAGTATAAATCCCAAAGCTCTAACGCAAGTCTCTTTAATGAGGATGCTTGGTCACATAGCCTCTTGTATTACTAAAGACCAAGGGTAAGAGTCTGAGTCAGGATTTGATATATTTTGCACTAAACTTTGAAACCGTAAAAAAGACAATGAATGGCAGAACTCTGGGTTACCTTCATTTTGGGCCAGATTATTAGCTTCACAGTAACACATCAACTGTATGGTCATTGTGCTCTTGAGCATATAGTTTTTCTGGATGAATGTTCTACCCCTGAAGGTGTCTGTTATAGAAGGGGAAACTTATGAACACACCAGGCAGAGAAATACAGCCCATTGGATGCTGGTGGACAGGTTGGAAAATCACAGCACATTTGAATGAACTTGGATCAAAAAAAGCTGTGTATGTTCTGGAGAAATGGCTCAGACACTAAAGACTAGGCTCCCAACCAAAATAGCAAGAAAGCCACCCATGCCAAAACCAACAAACGAACAAACAAACAAACAAACAAAACATGGAGCATGGGCAAGGCATAAGTAGCAGAGAAAATCTTGGAGTCCTTTGAAAATTCTCTATTACTTGAGTAATTAACTTTCCAGAGCCAGTCATTAACAGGCTTTCTCGTTCCCTTCCTCTGACAGGTCCAGCTGTGAGATACAGCAAGTTCAAGATGTCAGAGGCAAAGCCACCTCCCCTGCTGGGACAGCACACAAGGCACATCCTGAAGGAGGTCCTCAGATATGACGATGGAGCTATTGAGGAGCTACTCAGCACTGGTGTGATAGAGCAACATGCAACCAAGTGACAGATACCAGTGCACCCGGCAGCCCAGCTGCCTGTGTATGCCTTTCCCCAGTTTCGGTCCCCTAAAACCAGAGTGAGAACAACTGCAGATTTCCCGCCCTACATCTCTGGGGTAACTTTAGAATTAAAGTCTAGTACCCGTTTAAAAACTTATCATTTTGACTTTTTTTCTCCTCCAGAAAACAATTCAATTGTTTATGTGTGGACTTTGATTAATACTAATGTTTTCATCCAAAAAAAGTGATGACTGTTTGCTGATGGAATGTTGTTCTGATTTGATTTCTCCACAATGGACACATGTATGGAAGCATCAAATTATAAATTGTAGTTTTGATTTGTCAGTTGAAAATAAAGCAAAACATACAAAATATTTTTTTTTTTCTGGAGAAAGCCCTCTTTATTCTAATTGCCTTAGTGCCCTAAAATGTTTGCCTGTCCCACCCACACAAGCCTGATAAAAAGCAGGACTCTTGACATGTTCTACTTGTACATAAAGTCCTCATTTAAATCTTTGTTAGGAAGTAAAAGCAATAAGCAGAATGACAGTCTCTGTGATTGATTTTAAACAGTATAACTTAATTTCAAGCCCACGAACCCTTTGTTAGTCTGTAATTTAAACCATGGACTTTGCTGATGTCTGTTGTAAGACTGAGCTCCACTCTGCTCATAGAGAGTAAATATTTGCTTTATGTTGTATTTCCCTGGTGATACTGTGATGTGCAGTGGAACATGAATTTCCACCTATTCATTCAGGGTATGAGTATTTGTGTATCTGAGAAAGGATGGTGTTTCTTCTCTTGCTACCTTATTTTGAGACATAGCCAAGGACAACACACGTTAAATAAATGTGAGGTGATTGCTCACATATGAAGGTGTAAAGAATGCCAAATGAAAGAAAAAAAAGATATATTTCTTTGTAATTTGAAGACCTCTGTAGAAGACAGTATCATGTCTTGGTATTTTGATTTGTCAATGAGTTCTGAGTTTAGTAAAATATGCTTCAAAGATAAAAAGTGATCAGGATATATATTTTAGAATTAATTGCCCCCAAAAAACTGCATAGGACAAGTGCAGACTGGGGCATCGGGTGCCACTTGGTCGGTGTCTTGGGACCTCCACTCATGGCCCATATACACATATACTATAAAGCACTGCCATTATGTGCTGATAGTAATTGGTAGCTAAAATGCAGATTTCCACCTTTCAAACTGAGCAGAGCTGGGTTTCCTTTTCATCTTGGATGGTTTGAATCACCCACATTGTAAGGCCTGATATGTCTCTAGAATCAAGGATGCCAAATTAAAAGTCTCTCTCAAGATTTTTCAGAGGCAAATGTCCTAATTTTTGAGACCCACCCCTACCCAAACTTTGCTGCTCATCACATTGTACTCTGAAGACTCTTGCTGTTATTCCAGGAGTTAGAATTTTGTCATAATAGAATAGTTTTGTGCCTTCTGCAGTCCCCTGACTCAGTTCCTAATTTATAGAGTCACATATGGAGTTGTTCACATCAAATCAGGCTTGAAAGATTGTATTTGTGTGTGTGTGTGTGTATGTATATATGTACATATGCATATATGTGACTGTATTGCCTCCATGTGTGTATGCATATCATGTGTATACCTGTTGCCTGCAGAGATCAGAAGATAACACTGGGTCCCTGGAAGCTGTAATTACAGGTGGTTGTAAGCTACCATGTGGTTTGGAAATTGAACTTAGGTCTTCTGCAAGAGCAGTAAGTGTTCTTACCCTTTAAGCCATTGTTCGGGCTCCAAACCAGACATTTAAAGAACAATGTCTTTATAGTCATATGACTCATATAGAAATCAGGAAAAGGTTGGGTGACAGAATTGATAAAGCCACAAATCTTCAAAGCCAGATGCATCATTTTCCCCCACTGAACCATGAAATCTCAAAATGCAAATACTCCTCATTGAGCAATAATTCTACATATGTGAATACCCACATGTAGGAGGAGTCTGTCATGCATAGGGCCAGAATGTAGCTTGTAAACTTTCAGGTTAATAAAAACTGAAGTCTTCAAAATGGTAGGGCTGCCACTGAACCATGACCATGCTTCTAGATTCCCACCTGCTCAGCGCAGTATAATCCAGGAGAACTTTAGATTTCTGGTTACATACCCAACATGAAACATTACTCCACTGATTAAAAATTAAAAAAAAAGAAAAAGTTCAGGCTGTGCTTCAAGTTCACATTGATTATCAGTCCTGAAAGAAACATTGTGCTTACTAAAATTTCAAGCAATATGCCCCAGATCAAATTATGCTTATAAACAAATGTGCTGTTTTAATTATCAGAACTGGTTATCTTACGCAGTCCTCAAAATAACACACTACTAAGATACCATATGCTCAGGTTCAATTTGTGTCAGAGTCTGCCTTCTGGAAGGTTATATCTGTGGTTGGCCTCAAAGATGCCTTTAAAATCTGTGGGTTAATTGCTATGGAATCAGAGGCATGTCCATAAGTAAATGGACTTTTTTTTTTTTTCTGAAAAAAATTCTAGCAAATTTTTTCTTGTTAACCAATACATTTTTTTTTTCTGGTAAATAGCCTGATATGCTGAATGTTCTTTTAGTAAAAATGAAAACGAACATTGATGAGATTTTTATGAGCACTATAGTTACTTCATCCAATCTTGCATTTGAGACACCTAAGAGTATTAGAAATACAATCATAATTGGAAAAGACAAAGAATGTCTTATATTGGCTATTTGGTATTGCAGCCTTAGACCACTATTTTTAGATGCTCATCTTCGCGAGGACTTCTATGTGAAGATTTCACAAGTTCTACTTTTAAATCTTCTTACAGCAATTTGTACCCATTCATATATCACTTCAATTTGACATTACACTTTTGACTTGTGTTTTACCTTTGGCAAATTGCCTATTTTAAAATCCGTGTGGGCTGAGGGTATAGCTTGGTGGTGGAGCACTATCCTAGCGCGTGTGAGGCCCCAGGCTTAATTCTTAATTCTGCAAAAACAGATCATTAAAAGCCACATAGATGTGAGTCTTACTGATCACCCTATTATAAGACTTTGAGCTGCCTTCATCTTCAGGACCGATTCTCAGAGCAATTGCCCTGAAGTATCTGAAAAGGGATGGCAGGTGCAGAAATTATTGCAGCAATTATATTGCTAGAATTTTTAGATTTTAAGATGACTGTTAATATCTTTGGCATCTTGGAGCTGTTGACCCTTAGTCTTCAGTGACAAAGAAAGTAATTGGGGAGGAGTATATTCTCTACTATCCGTACCCCTATTTTTGGTACTAATTTTCATAATTATTCCTCATGATATTCTCCTGTCATTGACTCATGAATGAAACATTCTCTGGCTTTACAGTCAGCAGTTATGATTGGTGGGTGTTGGACTCTTCTGTCCAGTACTAGATTTGGGCGTGGTCTCAATTTTTCCTGTTCTTAAGCTTCAGCTCATGAGTAATTACTTTAGTTGAATGACCTCTGAGAAGGTGGATGGGGCCTTGCCCTCTACCTGACCTTCAAGTCAGACAGGATGAAGGGGTCCTCATAATCTTCAAACAAGATACAAAATACTCCCATACCCCAGACACTGGCCCTTTCTCCCCTTCTTTATCTTTGCAAATCAACTCCATGACTGATGTCTGTTTTGTTGTTGTTGTTTTGACTTCTTACCACATAGACTGGAGGAAGGCTTTTCAGGTGTCTCTTCAACCTGTTGCCATCACCACATCCCTTCCTGCCCCCAGTGTCATTGATTTTACTCAAAAGTAATAAAGTCAGCCTCCAAACATGTAGCACAGAGGTTGAGAAGAAAGAAAAAAGTAAAGCTGCCTCAGATGAATGTGATTTCTGCCTCTTTACCTCCTGTGAACCCTAAAGAAAGAAATTAGATTTTCTAAGTGTCTCTTAGTATGAGAGACTTGGCAACATGTGTAACATTCACCCCAATTTTCATGGATTTATGTCTTTAGATTTTAAGAAGAAATCCCCGACTGTACCTGATGAATGCTTCATACTATGAACTGTGAATGGCCATTGTGTTTCTTCCTTGGAGAAGGTTGAGAAAACTGATACATTCTCTTTGAGGGAGATCGTTAACTACATTTTATGAAAATAGAAAAGAGAGCACTCGTCTCCTTGTCTACGTAGGATTGCCCTACAGAAGCTTTACATGCTTACAGTGACACTGGCACTGAGGTCAAATTCTCTAATCCACAAGCCCTACTCTGGAAACAGTGTCTGCTAGCCTGAGAGCCTCCTCAGCCTGCTTTGCTGAACTGTGTAATGGGAAAGTCTGAGTCAATAGCAAACTAAAATGTCCTATTCGCAGAATCACATCAGAACTGGAAATATCCAGTAACTTGAGTTTCCAGCCCTGAGCTCTGATTCTCTCCAGAGTCCCAAATGTTTTGTGAGATTCTCCAGCTTTACTTTACTGAAAAAATCCTGGGGCTAGAAAGTGATCCCAGGGTTGCGTACGCTTAAGGCTCAAGAGGCAAACCAGCTCTGTAAACTCCATGACAAACCATCGCAAGGTCCCAGTGATCAATCTGCATGCTTTATGCAACTACCCTCATACTGCTCAGGTGATACAAGGTGAAATGAGTACCTCGGTGGGTCTCTGTGTGGGTGCATTCTGGGGGAAGGTTTATTAACTTGGCAAAAAAGAGCTCAGAGATCTAGAATAGGTGCCAGGGGAGGTTTCTGACAGTAGTCAGAGCCACACCTTTAATTTCCTGCACCAAAATGGAAGTAGATTCACAAGACTTGTCCACATAAAGATTTTAAATTACTATACCTTATATACGTGTGTGTGTTACCAATCAGAATGCATAAAATTCAAAATGCATAGATAAAATTCAGCAAATCTGGAAAACTGTTTCATGAGTTTTATGATTGATACTAAATTTGATGCTACCCAATGTTGAGAACTGAATCTCTTATATTCTTACATATAAGGTACTGTTCTATGTAAGTAAGATAACTGAAAATCACTGAAGTGACTTATACATAGTAACTCCTGTGTGGGAGATGTCTGTGAAAGCCTTGCGGCCATTCTCCACGAACAGAGAAATTACATCACTGTGTGAACACTCATGTGCCCTCTGGTTTGGCAGGTACAGTGGGACTAGATGGTCCTCTGCCATTCTTACTGCAAGTGTCACTCAGATAATATCCTTAAGCTCATAGGCTCTGCAGCTTTATCTGTCCTTGGAGATGTAATGGGAAAGACAGCATGGAAGCAAACAAGACCCTAACACAGTCACTTTGACCTTTGCAAGTGTTCTAAAATAAGAGAATTCCCAAGAGCATCCAAGTAGCTTGAGCACTGTGGATGTATCCTTTAGTAGTCTCCCCAGACAGGGCCGCCTCTAAAGAGGAGGAGGCATAATTTTACCTGTTTAAAACCCTCCCCATCCCAGAAGAGATGGTTTTCCATTGGTTCTTTTACTATGTTAACTATAAAATTACTCATGAAGTTGCAAATCAGGAACCACTCTCTCAAAGACCAGGGGAAAAGCTAGAAAGTGCATGCACTCGGGTTTCATCAGCAGAGAAAGATGATCTGGCGTACCCAGAAACAGGTGACATATTGTTGAGCCCAGAGAGCATGGGGAAACCCTTCTTATCATTGCAAATAAGCTATGAATATCAGAAATTCTAAAAAAAAAGAGGCAGAAACGAGTGAGACCTATTTACCATAAAACCTTAGAACCATGAATAACGACAAAGTATGTATGAGAGCTGTCTACGGTGATATGTGATAGCAGGACTTGATAATCTCTATCTTTAGAAAATCAGGCATGTGCGTAAGAACAATCCACCAACAAACTAACTGCAAAATTCAGTCTTCTGGTGTTAATGTGCTTATGATATCTTCAGGGTGTTAGGACTTAGAGTGAAGGAGGTGAATTTTTTCTGGGAAGTCATGAAGGAAAATGTTGTGAGTTTCATGATTGTGCTATCAACTTTTTTTTTTCCTATCTAGGTCTCTTCTGAGGGACCCACATAGCATAAACTGAGATGAAGTAGCCTGGAGACCAGTTGCTCTCCTCTTTCCACTGTAACATCCTTATGGGTGTCTTAGTCATAATTTCTTCAGTGGTTACTACTAATAAAGACTACTCTACAGGAGATGAGAAATATGTTTTTGATAGTCACTCTTTCACTAAGGAGACTGCAAACTCTGTGGGGAAAAGGGCGACGATTCCCATTGAAACTCCATTTCCAGGTCATTCTAGACTGTCCAAGTTGACAATTTAATTTCTCCTTTTTAAAGTTTTATTTTATATGTATAGGTGTTTCGCTTGCACATACTCCATGTATGCCTAGTGCTTCTAGAGACCAGATGATGGATCAAATCCCCTGAATTAGAAAGTTATAGATGGTGATTCGAACCCAGGTCCTCTGGAAGAGCAGCCAGAGCTCTTGATTACTGACCCATCTCTCCAGACTTTCAAGTTGACAGCAAAAACTAATCATTTGTGCTTGCTTCAGCAGCACTAATATACTAAAATTGGAACGATACAGAGACAATTAGCATGGTCTAAGTACATGGACGATTAGCATGAAGCGTTCCACATTTTTAAAAACTCAAGTGACAACACATGCTGGAAAGGATGTGGAGAAAGGGGACTTTCCTCCATTGCTGGTTGGAATGTAAACTTGTTCAACCACTTTGGAAATCAATCTGGCACTTTCTCAGACAATTTGGAATAGTGCTACCTCAAGATCCAGCTATACCACCCCTAGGCATATATCCAAATTATGCTCAACTATAGAATAAGGACATTTGCTCAACCATGTTTGTAGCAGCTCTATTCGTAATAGTCAGAAGCTGGAAACAACCTAGATGTCCCTCAATGGAGGAATGGATACAGAACTTGTGGTACATTTACACATTGGAATACTACTCAGCAATTAAAAACAAGGTAATCATGAAATTTGCAGGCAAATGGATGGAACTAGAAAAGATCATCTTGAGTGAGGTAACCCAGAAGTAGAAAGACCCACATGGTATATACTCACTCATAAGTGGATATTAGCCACATAATAGAGGATAAACATGCTAAAATCTATACTCCTAAATAAGCTAAACAATAAGGAAGACCCTAGGGAAGATGCTCAGTCTTCATTCAAAAGGACAAACACAATAGACATCAGAAGCAGGAGAAGACAGGGAACAGGACAGGAGCCTACCACAGAGGGCTTCTGAAAGGCTCTATCCTGCAGGGTATCGCGGCAGATGCTGAGACTCATAGCCAAACTTTGGGCAGAGTGCAGGGAATCTTACGAAAGAAGTGGGAGATAGTAAGACCAGGGGAGGACAGGAGCTCCACAAGGAGAGCAACAGAGTAAAAAAATACTGAGTCCTGGGTACCCTGAAGAGAATGATACCCTAACCAAGGATAATGCATGGAAAGGCCCTAAAACTCTGGCTCAGATGTAGCCCATAGACTCAGTATCTAAGTGGGGTCCCTAGTAAGGAGATCAGGAGCTTTCTTTGGCATGGACTCAGTGGCAGGCTCTCTGATCACCTCCTCCTGAGGATGCAGCCTTGCTAGGCCGTAAAGGAAGATAATGCAGCCATTCCTGATGCTACCTGGTAGGCTAGGTTCAAATAGAAGGAGAGAAGAACCTCCCTTACCAGTGGACTAGGGGAGGAATTGGGAGGTAGGGTGGGATTGGGAGGAGATGAGGGAGGTGCCCACAGCCGGGATACAAACTGAATAAATTGTAATAAATGATAACAATAATAAAAGAAAACCTAATCATTATAAATGCGTTTCTTAAAACATTTAAAAGCAATTTTAGATTTATAATAAATTACCTGCGAAGCACAGAATTCTCATGTGCTACTTATCATTTCCTATAATATTAACATATTCTATCACCAAGGTTAAGTTGTATAGACAGGACATTTAAATTGATGTATTATCATTAACAAATGAATCAAATTGTTCAAATATTTTCAGCTGTCTTACTTTCCTGGTAGAATTCTAAGAGAGTCCCCAAGATAGTCAGCCCTTCAGCCATTCTGAAATATATGTGCCCTCCTGGTCAAGCTATTGGTAGATGTTGTGGATTAGATTAAGCTAAAAGGTTATTGGTGCCAGGCATGATCCAATTACCAATAATTCTAGCATGTAGGGGGGAGGGTTGTGGTCAGCCTGGGCCACATGATGAAAATTTGTCTCAAAAGGGAAACTGATGAAATAAAATGAAATCAGTTGACCCTTGCATATGGAACTTAGTTATATAGGCATGACCTCACAGGGATAATTTAAATATGGTTCTAAACGTCAAAGCTCCAGACCACAGGAAAAGGGGGTATTGATATGACATGTATTGATAGAGGGAGTCACATGAAAGCAATTCAAGTGGCCTCTGGGAAGAAAGAGAGACCTCTAGCTGATAGCACTCAGGTGCTTTTTGTATTATTTCTTTTCTTATTCTTCTTTATGGTTTGTTTTGATATTTGTTTTGTGTGTGTACACATGTGTGTGCGTAGGTCTGTCTTTTGTTGTTGTTGTTTTTCTTTTTAGAGAGACAGAGAACTTAAAGTTGGGTGGGTATATAGTTGAAATGATGTGGGAGGAGCTTGAGAAGGGCAGAATATAATCAGAACATATTACATGAAAAATATTTCAAAAGTAAGTAAGAAGAAAATATGAAACTAGGTGCAACTCCAATGATTTGAATTCTACTAGGAACCTTGGTTTGACTTATTCCGAGAAATGCTAGACAAGACCTCAAGCCAACCAACACCTTGATTTCCATTTCGTGGTGTCCTGATTGGAGCATCCAGTGAAATCCAAGCTTCAGAACAGTGAGTTAATCAGTGGGAAGAGTTGGGCTGGGAAGAGGGCTCAGTCAGAACAATGTGTGAGGTCCTGAGAATGTCCTCAGGACCCACGATTTAAAACAAACAAACAAACAAACAAACAAACAAACAAACAAACAAGGCATCATCACAGTACACTGATAATCTCAGCACTGGAAAGGCAGGGACAGCTTAGGGATGACCTCATTAGGCTACTACACAAGTTCCTGGCCAGTGAGAGGCTCTGTGCAAAAACAGGTAGACTACATGTGAGGAAAAATACCTGAGGTTGTCAGGCACACATGGACAGCCATAAGCACACATAGGCAGTAAATAAATAACTTAATTAAGTTCATTTAAATAATTAAATGAATTGCTTTCAGCCTCTAACTAAACATAATTTGGTAGCAATTCATATATGTATAATATACACAAACCTTCAAAATAATCATTAATGTCCTTTCTCCAGTTCAAAATCTATGGCAAGATTCCAGATCATATTATTATTTTTCTTAGTCTTCTTTAACCTGGGTTAGTTTGCTAATCTTTCTTTGATTTATAAATTTTCATGGACATTGTGGCATTATTTAGTAGAATTTTTTTTTTTTTGAGAATTGCTTCTCTCAGTATCATGGTTTACTTTTTTGTTCACAATTTGAGAGATGATTTCACATCTTTTTGTTGTGTCCTATCAGGAAGTTTGTAATGTATATCTTATTGCCAATCATCTTAACTGTGATCATTTGTTTAGGACTCTGTCCTCCAAGAGCCACGTTTCCCCATGGAAAGTTTCTGCTTTGTAGGTAGTATTATATTATTGGAAGACATTTGAGACCCTATCACAAACAAAATATTTCTGAATATACATATATACATACTATAACAACAAATGAGGCCATGAGTTTGAGGGAGATTAGGGAGGGGCATATTGAAGGGTTTGGGGGGAGGAGAGGGGAGGGAGAAATGTCATAAATTTTTAAAACCTCAAAGATAAAATTTTAAAGTGGGAAATATTTAAAAAACAAAGCAAAGACAAACAAAACCCCCAAAACTTAAAAATGTAGATTATCATTCCCTTGCTGTTCTAGAGACCAGAAGCCCAAATCAGTATCAGTCAACTGAGATCGACTGTGCTATGTTCCCTGTGGAGGCTCTGAGATGAAGCCCTGACCAACACTTCCCAGATACTTCAGTGCATTGTTTTCCAGCCCTTTGTTCATGGCTGTTTCTCTAGCTTATCAGCTTTCCCTGATTCTGCTTCCTCTGTCTTTTATTTAAGCATCTATTTGGAGCTATCAAGTCTCCCTCAACCACCCAAAAGGGCTCTGTGGTGCCATTTCAGTCCCACTTATGTCATTCAGAAGACTCTCTTCAGCTTGACAGCTCCAACTTAAATACTTCTGCAGACTGTATAAGACAGCATTTATGTGTCTCGGGGATTAGAACATGTTTCCCAGCATGCTATAGAAGAGGCAAATATTGTGTTTTCCGTTATACTTTGCCCAAGTTTTGTGTCTACCTATGATCCTTGCTTAGAACACCTATATAGTATTTTTCCATTATTTTCGTGCCTCTAGGCTTGTTCATGGGGATTCTGCTGTGATTAAGCATTGTCACTTATATTCCATTTATTTATTAGTCTATCACTTATATCAATTGGGAACGATTGATGCTTATTGTATAGGAAGTTATCCATTACTGGTGAACTTAGTTCAAATTGATCAGAACTAGTTTTATTTTCTACCTGGGGAAGAGTTTAGCTTAGAAAGAGCTCACCTTAGTGAGGAGTTTCTGTTAAGCCACCTTAATGGTGCTTTCCTGTGAGCCTCCACTGTGACATACCCAGTCGTCTCCTCTCCACTTTGTTCGCATGTGTGAAGACATTATGAAAAAAGGGACTTATCATTGACTTATGCTATCATTGCTATGCCATTGTTTCTTCAGAAGGTCTTAGAAGGTTCTCTCTCAGAACAACCTCCACATTTATTTCATATTTTTGACCAGTGGTTCTGTGGAATGAAGAGAGCAAACTTTTCCCTTATGGGACATTGGATAGTATCTGCAGTCATTTTTTTATTTACCTAAAGCAGTGGCAACACGATATAGCGGGTGGAAAGGAAGTGGGTTTGCTGCTGGCATCTAGTCAGTGGAAGCCAGGAAGTGACAAGTGTTCCAGAAGGCACAGGACAGCCCTCACAGCAAGAAATTACTCACCTCAAAGTGTCAGTAGTGCTGACAGGCTATGCAGAATGCCATTTTAGGGTATCTGGCTGCTTTTATTTTTTTGTTTGCTGGTTGGTGTGTGTGTGTGTGTGTGTGTGTGTGTGTGTGTGTGTGTGTGTGTGTGTGT